AACTCAGTTGGTCCTTATGCTTGTAAGGCAGGTGGCAGAACCACTGAGCTAAATCTCTGGCCCACGCCTAGCATCTTTTTAATAAATTGGTCCTGAAAATTACACGATGCAGTGCTTCCCTATTAGCCATGAAAGACGTGGTCCAGGACTCTGTGGGTACCTGAAACCTAGGAGCCCATACGCATTGTACGCATATTACGCTTTTGCCTGTGACAGAGTTTCAGTTATAAGTTAGACACAGCGAGAGACTTAACAACAGTGAGTAACAGTTGCGGAGAGCAGTCAGATGTAGCTGTAGCATGGGCTGGGATGGCCTTGCCAGCCTCCCTCTTACGGGGTAAAGGGTAGCTGATGACAGGTCCAGCGGGTCTGACAGCTGATGAACCACTGAGCTAAATCTCTGGCCCACGCCTAGCATCTTTTTAATAAATTGGTCCTGAAAATTACACGATGCAGTGCTTCCCTATTAGCCATGAAAGACGTGGTCCAGGACTCTGTGGGTACCTGAAACCCAGGAGCCCATATGCATTGTACGCATATTACGCTTTTGCCTGTGACGGAGTTTCAGTTGTAAGTTAGACACAGCGAGAGACTTAACAACAGTGAGTAACAGTTGTGGAGAGCAGTCAGATGTAGCTGTAGCATGGGCTGGGATGGCCTTGCCAGCCTCCCTCTTACGGGGTAAAGGGTAGCTGACGACAGGTGCCGGATGCTGCGTGGGGCTCACGTTCCAGGTGGCGAGAGATGTCTCAGTGCTATTCGGAGTGACGTGAGTGCAAGAGGTAGTGTATGGTTCCAAGTTCGATCCCTGGTACCCAAAAATTTAAATACATAAATTAAGTAAATAACCAGGCAGGGCTGGGGATGTAGCTCAGTGGCACCGCGCCTGCCTCACAAGGGCAAGTGCACGGGTCATTCATCGCCGGGATTTTATTATTTTCAGTTGACCCACAGGGAACTGAAACCATACGAAGTAACAGCCAGAGAAAGTGAAACTGGCTAATGGGGGATACATCAGAAACAAAACAAAAACCAAAAAATAACTACAATTAAAATTCACTTAGCCTGTTTGGTAGTCTCTTGATAACTACGCTATTCATAACATTCATTCAAAGTGAAACGAATTCATAGTCTGTCTTAAAGATACTTAAAGTAGTATTGATTCTACTAAAATGGAGTTTCTGACAGGAATTTACCGGATCGAGCTATTTGGCTGTGTAACAATTCAATGTAACCGGATTTTATCTGTAAGAACGTAGAAGAGGAAGAAGCATAGAGTGGTTCAGTTAATGTATTAAAACTGGCAGAAACGATGCTTTACAGCATGTTTTTTGTAACAAAGGGAAGTTAGAATAAAAAGTACTTAGACCTAGATTGTGTCATGAAAGACCTGATTTGAAAGTTGAAATAGACTTAATGAAATTTGTTTCCTTCACATAATGTTGATCTACCGGCATAGCATTTTCTGAAGCACATTTTGGTGGACTGTGGCGGTCCAGCCATCACAGCACGAACATGCCTGAGTCGGGGAGTGAGGATTGGGAAAGGAAGGAACACTCCTTAGTTGAAATAGACTTAATGAAATTTGTTTCCTTCACATAATGTTGATCTACCGGCATAGCATTTCCTGAAGCACATTTTGGTGGACTGTGGCGGTCCAGCCGTCACAGCACGAACATGCCTGAGTCGGGGAGTGAGGATTGGGAAAGGAAAGAACACTCAAGCCTGAGTGGAGACCAAGAGAAATCTGCTTTATTTCACAGAAACAGCTCCTTTTATAGGCTCCCATCAACAGGAAGCTTTTAAGGGCACACAACAACAAAAAACACCAAGTAATTTTTTTTCAAAGACCGGATTTCCTGACTCTTACAGGTAACATCAGGTCTTTGGCTAACGAGCTTCCTGTTGTGTCAGGGTGATTTCCTGACTCTTACAGATAACATCAGATCTTCGGCTAACGAGTTTCCTGTTATGTCAGAGTGAAAGAGTTAAAACAAGCTTAACAAACAGTTTCCTTGAAAAGTAGCAAATGTTGATGTCTTAATTATACAGGAAGAAGTTATTTTCCAAATGTCAAACTCCAGTGGGCCATGACTGGGCCCCGACAGTGGACATGGCCTTCGGGCTGCTGACCAGTGAGGGTGGTGACTGCAGGCCGCAGGGCCGGCAGTGCGGTACCTGAGCGGTGCCATGCACAGGACTAGGAGCGTGAGCACGAATGTATTGCGGGAAACAGGCTTTCGTTCCTAAGTTCACATCATCTGGAACTTAGCTGGTTCATTCATTTGTCCAGAAAACATTTAGCAGGCCTTTGCCATGCACTGGACCACGCCAGCATCAGGAAGAAGGACGTGAGTGAGGGCGGTTGGCCTTTAACCCCTGACTCGGAATGGACAAAATCGGCGGTGGTTCCTGGGCTGAAGTGCGGTGATCTGCGGGACGCTCCCGAGAGTGCTGCCCTGGAGCGCAGTGCGCAGGACACAGTGTCGGGGCGCGGAGCAGGGAGCCCGTGTGGTTCCTGGAGCTCTGCTTCCGTGTCACTGACCTCATGGCTGTCCTGAGCATCCAGGCTGCAGCTGCTTTCCCAGGCTGGAGAGGGGCTTACGGGGCGGGAGGTCCTGGGCTCTCTGACAGAGATTTACAGGGTTTTTGCCCTGCTTGTGAAGTAGCTCACTGAGTGTGTATTCAGATTAACAGTTGCGGGTGTCTGCATCAGTCAAACGAGCAGCCTCGGAGTAGAGACCGTCAGCGTGTACACTCTGGGCGAACTGGGACTTATGTCATTGACAGTGTTATGATAATAGCGTGGAGGGGCTTATGGGACTGTGAAGTACCTGAAAACCTCGGTAAATGTGACTAGCCCGTTCCGTATACGTGCAATAGATTCTTCTTTGTTGGAAAATCCTTGGTAATGTAGTTTTAGAAGAAGTTTTTGCAAGATGGGTAGTCAAATAACTATAA